AATTTCTTGCCTTGTAAAAAACACTTTGTACCCAACGAGCGTACCACATTAGGGAAAGAATTGCACCCCATGTGTACCCCATTGGAGACGTTCTGTACCTCATTCGGAACCTTAATAGTTGGCAACCATGGGACAGCTGCCCGGATAGCAGGAGTTATGGGTTCGATTCCCATGAAGGTCATCCTTTTCATCGTTCTATCACATCATCTCAGTGACATTGCTTGCCAATTTCGTTCTATATATAATAGAGCTAACAGAGTGCCATTATGGGTGTGGATACCAGTGCTGGTGCGCTGAATTCCGGAATCGATGGGAATTAGACGGAACCCCTAGAGATTCCGTGTAATTCCGGAATTGAGTCGGGAGGGATAAACGGAATTGCCGGAATTAAACGGAATTAGTTTCGAATTGTTCAACATTGCGGAATAGGATGTATTCTCAAAAGACAATAGCATATTGTACGATCGTGCGTTTACAAAAAGTTAATTATTGAATTTTAATTGTTATATTGCTGTAGACTTTCGTTTTATACTCCTACTTACTTCTTTATTGTATGTCGTGTTCTCTGTTACTTTAGTCAACATGATTATACTCTCGCAATCTTTCTAAATGGTGCTTACATAATCATAGTGGCGCAAATCGAAGGTTTTACCATTGGGAAGTTTTTATTAGTACTATCTCCGCGTTTTGTAAAGCCTTTTCATCTGATCACTTCTTATTTTCATATTCTTATGAAAATAAATTAAGTAAGCAACTGATACTCAAATGGCATGTTGTTGAGAAAGTTTTGGATTGAAAAGGAAGGATTAAGAGCTTAAAAGGCAAAGGGATTTATGGGCCATAAATCCTTTCACAATTGTGAAAATTTCATTATAGAGCCTTCCCCCGCTTCACAGATTATGCTGTAAAGCGTCACTAATTTTCATCATTGTGCGTCCTAAAACGTTTCTGCATCTCCTTCTTCAGTGATTATTTCAACTACGAATGTACATAAAACTGGAAATGTTACTCGACCTAATTTACCCCACAAGCATTCGGACTCAACCCTAGCCAGAAAATGGTAACGTGTCATCAACTGGGCACTCCGTAACGAATTTTTTTCATAAAGCACCTAATATATGCACTAATATATATTTTTATATACCGGAAATTTATCAATTTTTGATTAATAGGATAACCGCTGGCTTAAAAAAGCTTCGATCTATTCCGAACATACCAGTAAGTCTAATAGTTTTTCTACGATTGTTATTAATTGTATCAATACGTTTTGTAGAAAATCGATGAATGCCAGTAATGTCAACAACACTGCGAGTTATTTCAGTAGCCATGATTGATGATGGTACAAAATCATTCTGATCCATACGAGGAATGTTATATGTTGATGAATTCAAAGCGAAAGCACCAATACCTAATATATTTAATTGAATGTAAATCATAAACGAATAAGAATTACTTTCACAAAAAAAGAAACAATTCTACCTTGAGGAGACGTACGAATACTGTTAGCATGGGAATTTTGGTTAGATATAACTTGAATATGTTGAACTGGCTGACTAGTTCGAACTGAAATCATAACAGAAATATTCAAACAGAATTTTCTCAAGAAAAAGATATAACGGGAAAATGTTATAATAATATTAGATGAATGACATTTTAAAGATTTCATATCAGCTGTATAATAACATTTAATCATGAAAAACATTTTTTTAGATTTTATTTACACAGGACTCAGCAGCTCTACATGTATACAGTTTATTGAATGGAAACTTGTACTAAAGCATACTAGTATGCTATTTCAAGAGCAGTGATTATTGTTATTCACTGGCTATTTTTTCTTCATGGAATAATGAATTAATTTGACATTAGTGAAAGTGAAATGAAAGTTAGACAACTTGTGTTGAATCACTTTCTTTTGTGAAGGGACTGTGAGTAAAAAGTAAAGCAAGCATTATTCTTTTAAATAGTAAGCCTTTTTGTTGTTCATTCATATATACTTAATTAAAAAAAAATTTTCCATTTTATTTTATAGGATATTTATTCTCTATAGGCTCTTAAAAACATTTCTTTTGACGTATTCAAGATTGAATGGTTTAAACAATCGAAACAAAAATGTATTGAATTGAAATTTAAAAATAATGAAAAAATGAAAAAAATTATCGAACGCTTCAAAGGAAACTTCGTGACCTGTTATTTTTATATCATACTTTCGAAAGCACTGAATATTAAAAATTACAAATCAAAATCGACAAAAAAAACTTTTCAATATAGCTTTACTTAACGAATCTTCTAACGAGAGATGTATTCTAACTTTATAAGATTAAAGTAGTAAGTATTATTGTGTTGAAAATATTGTTTTTACGATATTATCCAATATTTTGTCTTGCTTTTAGATTGCAAGTTTATGACTAAAAAGAAGCAATTTTTCTGATGGATTGGTTTTCACGCAGAGCTATTTCAGTAAGTGTTCATTCTTGAAAAGGGATTTTTAACTGAAGGATGTCATTTTCTTTTCTAGAAATAATACGTCTTCGGAGAAGAATATGATATAATATTACGCACGACGAGCATTATTCATGGAAGAGTTGCTAGTATGTGATAGGCCAGATTCTTTCTATAATGAAAACTATCAATTATAAAGATACAATTTGAATGCTTTACTTGTCCTGGTAGTATATGTGTTGAATGAAGATTTACTTCTTCTTCAATACTCATATCATCGAGTATGGGCTGAAATTAGGAAGAGATTTTAAGTGATAAAATGAGCAATGATTAACGTAATGAAAATGTATTAACTCACATTCATCGATTTAACTATTTAGTTATTTATTCAAGACAACAGCAATCGATCGACCGGCAACAAAAACTTTTCAACTTTTATCCGAACTAAAACAAAAAAATATGATATTGTCTCCAATGTTTATTATATTCAATTGAAAGGTGGCAATCGAGGATTTAGCAACTTAGCATTTATGAAGGTGAATGCTTACTGATAGATTCGATATCTAAGTCTCACACGGTTCGCTGCACTCGTTTACAGGACCTTTTTAAAACGAAAAGAAAATTTTGTTAAATATCAAATCTAGCGATTTTTGCATATTTTCTATCATGTTATGCCTTCTCGTTTATCAAAATAATCAAGTCTTAATCGGCACTAAAATTCTCCTTGAACTCCTTTAAAGAAGGCGAAGGATTTATGATGACTTGAAACCGTAAACTAAGACTTATGGATTATGGTAGTAAGCACTACTATCTTCGTTAATAACTGAGATTCGTTGCATGGTATCGCATAACCGCCATTCATAACCATTTGCTTAACCACTGTAGGCGACCTCTTTTCGTCTTTTTATGAAACTTATCCATGATTATATTTGAGTTATATATTAAAGACATTAAAAAATGTTTAACTATGTCGCTAATAATTGTATCATACATTTTCTTAGTTATCAATGATTGAAATGCAAAATTTGTTGGTATTGATTCAATTATTCACACAGCCATGTGGGAAATTTCCAACCAAAGGTAACCAGGTCGATCGTTCCGGCCACTAGATACTGTAGGAGCCGACCGGAAACATGCGGAAAATTCACCGTATTCCGCAGGAACACACGAGAAGTCACTGGAACCTGGAAGCAATATTCTGGATGGAGAATTTTTGGAGTTTTTCCCGATGATTTACTGTCGGTTTCTGCTGGAAAGCACTGGAATTTGGTCGGAATTCACTGGAAAAAAGCCGAGAATTACGGACTAGAATGCTGCTTCCTCGTTCCAGTTAGGTCCTTTGTTTTTCGGTCATTTACCACCGTACGGTCAATACCTGAGTACCACCGATTGCGTTTTCAAAGCCTCATTATACTAGCTGTTAATTATGCACGAAATTAAGCATTTTGTTAGTGAGTACATTTGGAGACTCCTATGAAATCGTAGTTATGTGCCATGTTGTCTCATACAGTGTACAAGCTTTCTTTTTCACCGAGTTCACTACAATCACAGCAATGGTTTATTCCTGAATAATTACTAGTGTTAATTAGAGATTTATCTTCATTGAGTTGTTCAGATAAAGTTCGTCAACAGTTCAACTCTCACAAGCTCATCAAGCCACTATTATCAGCCAATTCAAAAATTGATTACTTAGAAATCCTTTTTCTCCATCGATTTTAAGTATTTTCTTAACTTGTCGACTAATGATAACAGCTTTCAATACTTCAATTATTATTTGTATGACCCGACATTATGGTTTGGTGTGCCCTATGAAACATTTATCACAATGCACCCAGCGACCCTCTAGTTTACACTGAACTCATGTTTTAAGATAATGCTTTCACCATATAAAAAAAAGACTTGATAAGTTGGAGATTGAAATAGTGTTATTCATCGATTCTTGAATAGCTGTCTGGAAGGCATGTTTGTCGAAGAAAACAAGATTGAAATAGTATTACAATACACTGTAGTTACCAGCAGTCTCTTGTATTGTATTACAGTTCTGTGGAAGAGAACAATATGAAGTGAACCGTGCAATCCTAAACTCAGCTATTTTTAGACCACTAATATAAGTCCTATATAAGAAAGATGTTGGTCTAACTTATTCATATAATTTTCTTTTTCAATTGAGTTTGCAACTAAATAAAATAAATATAATGAGTTCGAATGATCTGTGATGAAACGCTCAATTTATTTTCAATTGAAGATTAAGAGTGAAAAGCAGATTTCCTAATCCCAGAAGAATGCACATCGTATTCTCTAGATTCAGAATCCTGGGAATTCGTTTCCCATTTGTCATCAACATAAATACGAAATCAACAGTAGTAAAACCTATTCAGTCATTTTTTGTCAACAGCAACAGAATGCGTTTTCGATGAAGTCATTTTTGTATGCTCGTTTTCAATGTCATCACATGATTGAAGGTTATCAAATGCTGTTGATTCATAGTCTACAGAAAAAGGCAAAGAGAATTGTATTATTTCGTAACTGAAAATGCATACGAAGGAAACAGATACAAAAGTTTGATGGAATATTTCATACTAAAGTTAGACAGAGAGAAATTGCGATGTTTCATATGAGACAAACTTGCATTGACTGCGTTAGGACAATGATAACTTTGTCTAGGAGATACACAGGTCGACGATTACAGGCTTCGTATACGACTGTAAACGACCGTACACGGAGAAATACGGAATAACACGAAGATTTCATTACGGAATGTGTATGCGACGACCGTAAACGACTGTTTTTGTCACCATATGCGACACGGAAATATGCGATCGTAATGTTGGACCATGCATTTTGCCGTGTTTCTCCGTATACAGTCGTAAATGACCGTGCTTGCTTGACCTGGATATTTATAGCTACTCTGTTTTATAATGTTTTCGAAGGCGCAGCTATTCTCATATGAATAACTATTGAAGATCAATTCATGAAGATATTGATTCATTTGTTTTACTATTTGCAGCACAAACGACTCCAACAACCAATAGTTGTAGGTGTGCACAAGCTTCTAATTCGACATAAAGACATTGCATTTTATGTGATTTGATTTCCCACAGTGCGGTATTGGATTTCATTGTTTAAGATCGTTCAAATAATTATATAAAGCCCAAACTGAACGATGCTCGACGTGCTTTTACGCTACAAATTGTAGAGGTGTGAAACTGAGTACTGGAAGGGTGTGGGTGTCGGTGGGCGGGTGCGGGTGCGGGTGTCGTTATGGGGCTTATAGCCAGAGATTATAAATACAACCACACCCACGCACACCCTCAAATATTTATTAATAACAATAAGAATAATGATTAACAATATACAAGAGAAAAGAGACTCTATATTGATAACAAACGTCTGATATATTGCAATAGGTCCTTCATGCCTGTATGTGGATTTTGAACTAAATTTTATAATCGTCTGTTCAATGATCCGTTTCTTTGTTTTGGTGGCTGACGACCAGACACAGCATTAACGATATATGGAGGGTGTGTAGAGTGTGAGATGTGGTTGTGGTTGTATTTATCATGTCTGGCTATAAACCCCATACCGACACCCGCACCCGCATCTGCCCACTGACACGGGCACACCCATGACCCACCCTCACAAGCAACTGTCCCGAGAGCAACCCAGGTCGATCAAAACGGACCACCGTAAACCGGCGTAACATTACCGTAAACGATCGTTTTAAACCGCATTAAGGCGTTTTAACAGGGGCAGTATTACGGCCATGCACAGACACCGTATATCAGCCGTAGAACCTCGCAAAGTCGGCGTAATATTATCGTATTCTATAGGGCATACGGCCGTATTACTGCGCCTGTTATAAGGGGAAAATACGGCCCGTTTTACGTGCCGTATTTGTATCGTATACGACCGTTTACTGGTCGTTTTCTTCGACCGGGGAAGTAACCGGCTCCCCTTCAATTTATTTCCATGCAATACTAGAAACAATCTAACTCGTGAATGAAGAGAATATTGACGAAATCGATTTATAGCAACTAAAGATGAAAGATTCCATAAGATTTAGCTTTCTGTACTTGATAAACCCCATCGAAAGTATTATATTCGCTTCCCAGGTCGGAGCAACCGGCCCGGGAAACGGCCGGTTCCCGCGCATTCCCGCGATTTCACTGAAGCAGTATTCCGGATCGGGAAATCTACGGATTTTTCCTGTAAATTCCGCCAAGTTCCTGTTGGTTCCCGCCGGAAATCATCGGAAATCACCGCGGAAATCCGGAAAAATCCGTCCCGGAATCCTGCTTCTAGGGTTCGATTATATCCGGCGTTTTCCTGCACGTTCCGGTGCGTTTCCAGTATGTTTCTGGCCGGTTCCAATGAAATCCGCTCATTTCCGGAGGCCGGAAACATCATCCTGGGTTTGTTTCATGTAAGTATAATCTTGTATAAAAAGCATATCATTTGTTAATTAGGATCATATTTTCATGTGAGATTTTTTCTACGTTTCACACTCAAAATATTCCTTATCAACATGTAAGGGTGTGGGTGTGGGTGTGCATTTGAGTTTACTAAGATGTTCCGATACACGCACGCCCGCACCCTCACCCACACCCACACCCAATAAACGTATAACTCTCGAAACTGAGCTTCCTAATCATTTTTAAAGATTTTATAAAGTGCTAAATCATCATACAGACGTCTCGGTTTTATAGACTGCTCGCAATAAATAAATAACACGTATCTGATATTTTTTTATTAAAGTTCTATAATAAAATGAGTCATGCTATTTATCCTTCACCTATATTTATCTTTGAATCGACACAGTTATAGGCGAAAATATTTTTGATTTTATCCACCCACGATTACTTTTCTTCATTATGTTTCGATGAAATCCGATATTGAAAGAACTATGATTGATAATCGAATTGAGATAAACAATAGAAAGCATCGTCATTTCAGTTAAGGCTACCCACCCACCCCCCTTAAAAAAAAAGTCGATTTTCGTCAAAAAAATGAAAATTGAGATAACACAATGGGATGATAGCCCATGTTCTGCTCTTTCAGAATCACTATAGTTTTTTTTCCAAAGATCATTTTTTGACCGAAATTTTTAGTGATCTTTGAGAGGTCGTCTATGTCAAAAACGGCAGTATAATTAGGTCTTTGATCTCTAATGACTGATTAATTAATTAATTAAGCGCTCAGCGTGTGCAGAATTAAAAGTTACGTAGGAAAGCTAGGTCAGTTTCGTAAAAAAACGAGTGAAAATTGCAGAAAATTTAAAAAAACAGCAAAAACTTCGAAAAAATGTTTTTATGTTTTTTCAAAATTATATTTTTCCGTTTTCCATCCTAGTTATTTTACCTTCAACTATGTTTTTTCGAAATTTTTTTTTTACCATTCGATAGAGCATGCAAAGACGCAGGGCATCTCGTGCTCCGATTTTTGAAAAAGCTTTTTTTTATGCCCAAAAAAGATCGCCTACAAAATTCACTTGCAGTTTTTTGGCCTTTTTTCAAGGACTTTGAATGGTGGAAACTTTTTTGGCTTAGAGAATGAACTTTTTTAAAATCAAAGCACGAGATGCCCTGCATCTTTACATGCTCTATCGAATGGTAAAAAAAATTTTCGAAAAAACATAGTTGAAGGCAAAATAACTAGGATGGAAAATGGTCATTTTTAACCAGTGTTCACTTCATAACTTTCTTAAACTTGAATATTTCTGGCTGAAATTTTCATCGTAGGCTACCCGCTCCAGTCCTAACATATCCTGAAAGTTTCAGCCGATTTGAACTTTCTTTGGCGAAAATTGACTTTTGAGGGGGAGGGGGTTGCCTTAAGAAAAAAAGGAAGAATATTAACATGTTCGAATAGTACAACAATCGATGAAGAAAATTCCTATATCACAAATGTAGATTTTCAATTTCATTTAGTTGACTTTATTTTAATAAGAATTTTATTGAAAAATTGATTTCACATATTATCCACGTTCTTGTGCTTCTACTGATACTTTGCTAGGATTATGTGTTTTGTAGATAGATCTAATACGCGTGCATCTCCAGTAAGACGCTCAGTATATCACTTGAAATAATATGGATTGCATTTGCTATACTTTCGATCATTGAAATTCACTTTAAAGACAAATATACTGAATGAGTCATTTTTTTGTTTCATGGAAGACTAGAAGACAGTGACGAAATCATACGTTTCAATTGTGTACATATGATTAAAAAAAAGTAACCTTATGATACCGATATAAAATTTTCTTATTGGACATTCTAAAGAATCTAAATAAAACCTTACTTGAATATTGGCAGACTTTTGTTTTTATTAAGAAAGAACCAGAATCATTTATAATTGTTTTACGGAAAGTAACAGCAAAAAATAATCAAAGATTATTTTTATTACTATGTAAGGATAACTGAAGAACAATAGTCGAAGCAAAACATGAATTATGCATTTACTTATTATTCAGAAACTCTGATTGTAACAAGCGTGTTAAAATAGATTATCATTTCGTAGGCATATTATTTTGGTATTCAAATTTGATACGATACATTATTTTATCGTATAAACAACTGCATATGCTTTTCGGAAAAAATCATTTCTTTCTAGTTTCACTTTCTTCCTTGGTAAATATTTAGATGACCAGGTTTAAGCACTGATGATTCAAATAGTCAGTAAAAGTAAAATATCAATATTGATACATATACTAATAGTACGTGTCATATTTCAACTAAAACGTGGCGATTTTTCTCCGAAAAGTATCGTATGATGTCTGCAATATTAAAATTTAAACCATCAGTAAATCCAAATTTTAAAAATAATCACCGATTAAGTGTTTCACTAAAAACAGTAGTCTCCTGATACTCTTAAATAATGAGTTTTATGTTCTAGCTACAAAAAATTTTGCAGTTTCATCTTGTTCGATCAAGTAATAGAAAAGGCAACGTCGTAATTGTCTATCTTTCATGTATTGATCCCTATGAAATAGGATAATGCAGTAAATGTCCTTAAGAAACAATCTAATTTTAGTTTAGTCTGTAAGTCTGTGAATTCGGCGATTCAAAATAAAACATTTTATGTACTAGAGATTTTCTTTATCAAATAGGATACTTGATAATTTTGAAAGAATATTACTTGCGTCGAACTTGATCGATTAAAATATTCTGTAAATATTACATTACAAATAACTCTCCGACGTAAGTATGCTTTTTTTTAATGTAATTGAAACCTCTTATAACAAGCTTTAAATACATCTATATAAGGAAGCTCGTAGGAAATTGAGTTAAAATCATCAACAAAACGTTCTACATGCCACACAATAAAATTGTTTTCGTGCTTCTTGTTCTATATTGGTTTGATGCCATTGGAAGTTCTGCTATTGCGTTGCCCAAAGGTTCAACACAATCGCATACTACTGTTGCACATAAAGTTATGTTTATATTTTGCATATTTATCAATATGTAACCACTTTGTATTTTATAGATTCTTTAAAAGCCAATAGTTCATCTGTACTGGACTGTAGCAAATTCAAAAATGATTATGATATTCTTCAACAATTTCCTTTTCCAATCATTATTAATCCGATTGAACAAATATTTAATCAAAGTACAGCAACTATGCATGAAAATGATACTTTTGTCGAAACTATCTTTATTCGCGAAGAGAAAGTAGTTCCATCGAGTGTATTTTGTTTATTGAAACTGCACACTTTGCACATTGAGACGACACCTTTTGAAAATGGTAATGATCTTCTATGAGTTGTTAGTTCTTTTTATTATCATTTTGAATGCTTACTTAGGTATTGTACCCGATAGTTTAGCAAATTTAAAACAACTTCGTTACTTTTGGGTTTATGATTCAGCTATTGTAAAAATAACAGAACGATTGGAACAACTACTTGATCTTTCAATGTTAACTATGAGAAATTGCTCATTAAGTCATTTACCAAAGTTCAATAAGCTGAAGAACTTGTGGAGCATTGATATTTCTAGAAATCAATTTTCTAAACTAGAAGGAATTCCTGCTGTACTTATGGTGTCACTTCAAGATAATCGTTTCACTGAAATACCAACTTTAGAGACACCAGAAAAACTTGCGTATCTTGAAATGAGCAACAATCCTCTACGAAACGTTCAATCAATTAGTTCATATATCAATCTTAAATCTATTTCATTACGAAGTGCAACTCTAACATCTATTCCTTCTGATATCAATCAATTACAAAAACTTCAAACTCTAGACTTATCTAACAATAAATTATCTGAAATTCCAGATAGTCTAATCAAAATGCCTGCACTTGAAATGCTCAACATAACAAATAATATGTTTACAACTAAATATATTCAAGCCATTGAAAAGAAATTCAAAGCATCTCTTCCAAATGCAGAAATAATTACTTAATTGATATCTTTATAAGATTTGACTTCATTTTTAAACGAAAAATGTTGCTTCTCTGATAAACTTGAAAAAAAAACAGCAGTCGTATTTTTTATCTAATAAAGTTACTACGTGAATACGATGAATATTATCAATTAGAAAATAGTTTTGTTTCGTAGGAATTTCGCACTGTATATGTCATATTTCTAATCATATTATAGTATTAACTAAGACTCATGCTAATATTTAAACATTAATAAATTAGAATTAACACTAATAATTTACTATTAAATTCTATTGTGAATCCTTTCATATACTACTTATAACTAGATTCTACTTAGTTATTGTTCACAGGTCACAAGCAATTTTCTTTTGAATGTGAATCTTTTCTCTACTCACACTCCCATTAAAAACATGAGGCATCTAATTTTAATTCTGAATACTCAATTTTTATTATAGCTTAATTTTACGATCAGTTACTGATTGATCACAGATGTAGACAACTAATTATTATTAAGCACCGAATTATTATTTCATTTTTAACTTATTTTGTCCTACTTCATCATGATCTTGTCAGAAAAGTCCATTCATTCTTACATCGAATATAATAAAGTTTGATCACAACGTATACATGAATAAATATAACAATTTTTCAATTTGTACGAATTAGCATATATACATACATCGTAGCGCTTGTCAGGATTCCAGCGAAAAAATTATTTGCAATGGACGTCACCCTCGGGATTTATCAGGACACCGCGATGATATACATATAGAAGCAAATTTTGTACGATAGAATATTTCATCACTAATGAGCAATATTTTATTTGAAACTTCATTTTTCTGCTATTTCTTAGCATAATATTACACAAAATAAAATATATATAATTATCATGTGATGCCACAAAAATGGCAAACTTTTCCATTGGTTTTCATATTCCTGTGACAAATAACAAAAATTGCGTTGTTGCTTATTCAAAAGAGGAAAATTTCTAGCTGTGAATTCGACTGAATGAACATTTATGAAATTGATCATGAACAACATAATAAAACGTACTTCCTTATCTAAAAATCGAACATTTCTTTAGAAATATTCTTGTTCATGTTTTCAGGGTGCATTTGTTTTCACGGTGACTATAGACTGATAGATACTAATTTAAACGGCAAATATAATTTTATAAGCATAGTTTGTAATAAACTTTACGAACTATCAATTAATGAAGAAAACAATATTTCATTCCATCGATACATTTCTCAAAAGATAGTACATACAAAATCTGATAATTGTGCAGAAAAAAAGAAACTTTCTCTATCAAACCGACAGTACATGTCTTTGATACTTTTCGTATGCACTGGATTTATGAAGAAATCTTGTATTGATTAATGCAAGCGTGTAAGTTTCATCGTAGCTTCATACATTACTTGCGATGAAATTCAAAACTAACCGTTTACTATCGTTATTGAGTAGACCAGAGATATTCAACATCGCAGAAAATCTATGTGCTGTGAAATTCATAATGTAATAGATGAAAACAGTATTTTCAGTATATAAAATTTGTCAAGCAGTTGTACTTTGCAAAAAAAGAATAGATAATTAGTTGATAAGTTGGCAGCGTGTGCAAAAAACACTGTTTTGTTTTAAAATTTGCATCTAAGTCACGAGTCCTTTTTGTTCTTAATTATGCCAACATTATTAACATATAAGTTGTCTTTTTCAATTTCATATTGTGATGAAAAACTGGACACGGCTTCTCATATTGTGAAATATTTCTTGTTTTTAACATGGCTACACTTGATAGTGCGTGACTTTAGTAGAACTATTAACGCATTGGGAATGCTAATACTTTTTTGGGAGCGAGTTTTCAAGAAGTGAAAGTTAAATGGTTACATTGTTAATATTCAGCAATGCTTGTTAATTAAAAAGATCGTTTAATATGCTTCTAACTCGTATATCATTCAAAATCTTATGTATAGCTTCAATTTTTCAAAGTTCTCTTCCTAAGTCTCTCAGCTTGTAGCAAAGAATCACAAATTTTCTATGTTATTACCAACACACAAACGATTCATTCGAAAATATGTTGTCTATGATTTTGAGAGTACCTATGATAATTAGCACGACATTGGCGTTTAGCTGAATCTAGAACTACGCTATCTATCTATTAACATTTTCTCTATTCGTACAATCATCTAGAAAATACTTGGAAATTTTATATGCCATCCTAAATAAGTCATAGAAATGGACCAAGAACTTAATTCCGTTACTTACATCACGAGAAACTATTTCGATGATCAATTGTTTTACTTTACATGGGATACTCATCCAGAATATGTTTATTCTATTGTTTTAGGGTGTGTGATCGTTATAAGCAAATATGAGAACAAAAAACAATGCATAAATATTTGCAAGTAATGAGAGAGAATCTAAAATAGTGCAAGAGAGATTTTAATTGGCTTCAGCAAATTTTATTTAAATTGAGGTGTATAAAATATACTTGTGTTTTCGTCTTGTTGAGGCAATCCATTTTCATCAGTTTCACTCATTCTGTAAACACCAAAGCCGTCCCAGCTCATTATGGCAAAAACAAATCAAGTTAGTATTTGGGAAGTATCGACAAATGACCGTCATAATAAACTTAACAGTCATGTTGATGATGATGAAGAAGGACGACCGAGTAAATACCAACGCTCTTTAGCAGCTTTTGAAAAGTAAATCCTGCTTTTTTTTGTTTATCTATGTTTTAATATTTGAATATAGTTTAAAATGTTGTTGCTCATGTTCAAGCCCTATTTTTATCGGATTTGTGATTGGAGCCTTAGTTGCAGGAATCGTACTAGCAACAGTTGTCTCAATCTATGTGGTTGATTCAGGTACATATTATATTATGATTTTTTTTCTTAATACAAACACATATAGATCTAGTTCTCAACGGTAAGATTCTCCCAATAGCATGAGTTGCTTAACTCGCATTCGACTATGAGAATAAAGTTTTAACTGCACCGAAGCACTTCGAAAACAAAAGAAAAGCTCACACAACTTCTTCTTGTGACAGACACAAAATATAGCATCTATTCTCGATTAAAAATTATAAGTCGAACTAGACTTCCATATAAATGCGGCAGCAAAAACAAAATATAAATTCAGTTCCAATTAAAAATTATAATTTGCTAAGACTTGTCTGATCGCAGAACCACGACCAACTGGTACTAGGACAGAAGGTCGCAGGCAAAGCTTCGTGGACAGAATGTTGCAGGTTACACCATCTGTCAAAGTTTAAAAATGATAATCGAAAAATTGATTCGAAGAATCCACACTATAAACTTTGATATTATGATTTTTATCATAGTGGCCAGAAAGCTTTCAGTAAGGGAATTCATATGACTATACATAAAGATGCAAAATATTACTCAATCAGAAAATAATTCCAATTCAGAATAAATGAGCGCGGCTACAGATATCATAAACTTCTGAAAACACCCCGAACTAAAAAAATGTACGAAAACCACCATTTCAACCCTCACGACCTGGCAGCAACATCCGAATAACAACCTGATCATCGTGTACACTTACAGGCACCCATATACATCCATACCCACACCCTAGTTGAAATAGGCTGAAAAATTCTTAGTATACTATAAGAATTGTTGATCACCTACATATCCTTTTTTTGAAGCAATACAATGATGTGGAATGAAATCAATGAGATATATACTTTTTATAAGTACATGCATAATGTCTGTCGTATGTGTTTCGCATATTACTATTTTCGAATAGCAAATTAGTCATTGCCATACTCCAAAATTGATTTAAATTCAAATACAACTGAAATTTGAGAAAAGCTATGATGAATTGTAAAGGACTCCTATTTTATTAACATAATGCAATCGTAGATACCAATATTATAAGAATCTATTTTAGCCAAAACACAGGGTCCTTCAACTTCTAGTAGTTCGACGACGTCTAGCACTTCGACTACTGGCACAACAACAACTTCAACCACCACCACAACAACGACTTCAACCACTACTACGTCAACTACTAGCACAACAACAACTTCGACCAGTACAACTACAACGACTACAACCACAACGACTACAACAAGTACGAGCACTACCACTACAAGCACTACAAGCACTACCACTACAACCACCAGCACAACAACAACTTCGACCAGTACAACCACAACGACTACGAGCACCACTACCACTAGCACAACAACAACTTCTTCAGCAAGTACATCATCAACATCGACTAGTACTTCAACTACGACTACTACAACAACCACAACGACTACGAGCATCACTACCACTAGCACAACAACAACTTCTTCAACAAGTACATCATCAACATCGACTAGTACTTCAACTACGACTACTACAACAACCACAACTTCTTCGACAAGCTCTTCTACATCAACTACATCAGTGTCGACGACAACTACAACTAGTGCTACCACAACAACCACTTCAACAACAACATCACAAACAACAACGAGTGCAACTACAGGTACAACAACAACATCAACTACAACTACGACAACAGCGCCTTGTAAGTCATTTATGATAGATTTAGAGAAATGCATGGAATATATTTAATCCTTTATCTATTTCTATAAGGGTGTACGACATGTGTCACATTCGATAATATTCCTGGTCAGTTAGCCACTACTGGTGTTGTTCCCAATGGATACAATAATTTGAATTGGACAAACGTCTGGTACGTCAATGCATCAACAGAGCCAACAAGCGGTTATGAGTATGCTGTTACCTCACCACCATTTGTTGGTACTAATCCAGGAGGTGCAACTGTGAAAATAACATCTGCTAACGGTACTAGCTTTGCATTCGATTCAGTGATTGTTACGTCTGCTTGGCGAGATGATCTTTATTGGGTGATATATGGTTATCGAAATGGTGTTAATACAGTAGCTGGTGGCTTTTATATGCAGGTCGCAAATCAAACAATCATATCGTGCGGTTCATGTACTAATCTAGATACACTCTATTTTGTTGTATCAGGTGGTACACCTCATGTGGGATTAGCTCAAACTGGATACGAGTCTGCTTTTGATAATTTATGTATTTCATTTGGATACTAAACCATATTTAAAAAATTTGCTTTTCTTTAGTGTAGAATTATATAAATACTAATTAATTAAACTGATTTATGCTTGTGAAGATTGATACTAACATGCTTTTTACAATAAATTTGAGTAATATCACAGAGATCACCATGAAAAAGGTACAGTTATAGATATTTTCTTACGAAGAATTTCTAATAGAATCACTTTGCTACGATTTGCTTAGACAAACATAAAATTATATGGAGACTTTTGTGGAACTCACATATATTTTCGAAGAAAATGGTGAGTGTAAGTTTAAAGCCGAGATTTTTGCGGCTCCCCACCCCCCCCCATT